CTGGACCTTGGAACAGCCCAGATCAGTCTTCAGTCTTTGAGCCAAGGCCCACAGGGTGTGGGTGACGGGTCCAAGGTCATACCTGCCATTAGGATTAGAGCAGAGGGTGTGAGGCTCCTCCACCACGGCCGAGAGGTCCAGGGAGTGGGGCAGGGGGATTCTGTCTGTGCGGGATGACCTCTGTCACAGCCATGAAACCACAGAGCCTGTCCCCAAAGGGCCCCCAGGCAAACCGCCTCTCAGCGGTGTCCAGGACTGCTGCGGGGCCTGGCGTGTTACTGCTGTCACAGATGTTCGGGGCCATACCTGAGTACGGGCAGTGGCCCTGCAGCCACCAGGGGGGGATGTAACAGACTCTGTGGTCTGCCTCCAGGTACTGGCATGTGGGGAGGGCGAAACGCACCAGCACCCCACCCAGACTAGAAATCCAGGTGCTGGCTTCCCCCGCACACCCCCAGGGCCTTTGCAGATGCTATCCCTCTGTCTGCAGTGGCCTTCCCCTCCTCTCCTGGCAGGTGCTGGCTCATCCTTTAAGACCCCTCCAGGAAGCCCTGCCTGACTCCCACCCCAAGGGCCAGGCTGATCCGCCCTGCCAGGATTTCCATCTGGCTGCTCCACAGGATGCTGAGAACCTTGAGGGCCTGGTCATAATCCAGGGCCTGGTCGGAGATGCCAGCGGAGTGGACAGGGAAAGCAGCTCTAAGGTGCAGCCCAGTTCAGGCGACTGTCCCCGCAGCCCAGAGAGGAGACCAGGCTGGGGAGCCTTGAGGCCAGATAGCTAGCCAAACATGCCCATTTCACAGAGGGAACGTTGAGGCCCGAGGTGCTTGGGATTGACCTAGAGCACCCTGGAGAGTGGTTGGTAGTCCCTTTGTGGCTTGTAGGAGGAGGGCCCAGGGCTATGTGGCCGTACCCCTCCCCCACTCCGGTCCCCAGCTGGAGCATTTCTCTGCAGGATCAAGGCCAGGTCTGGGGGGGATGGGAAGAAGCCCAGGAGAGCAAAGTCCCCAGGGCTCAGGTCTGCACTCGGTCTTCCCATGCGGAGGACAAAGCTCCTTAGAGAAAATGCTTGCTGTCCAAAAGCTGGCAGGAAATCCACATCGATAGCTCATTCCTGCAAAAAGATGCACAGGAAAAAAAGCCGGTGAGAACTTAGGCCAAAATGTTAGCCCCGGGGATGGTGGGTGATATTACCCTTCTTTCGCTGGGATTTTCACATTTCCTAGGTTGTAGGTGAGACCTTTATAACCAGAAAAATGAAGTTACCATGGAAAGGAGAGAAGTCCAAGAAAAGGTGCCCGAGAACAGCCAGCTCCCCATTCCCATTCATGAGACTCTGGGGTCACCATGTGTGAGTGGCTTCCAGAGGGACCCTGGCCCCAGGCACATCCTCCAGAACAGGTGCGCCTGTAGCAGGCAGCTCAGCCTGTGTGTCTCTCTTTCTTGGAAATTGGGTCAGCGAAGAGTCCAGACCTGGGGCCTACTGGGATGCAGCACACCCAGAATTCCGTTCAAGCCTCTGATGTCCTTCCTGTCGTGTGGGTTAGGCCTCGGGGCCCTCGCCTTCCCACCTCCACCTGGACAGCCACCCCACCCCACCCCAGGCTGCCCTCTGCCCCTCCCAGCCAGAGGTGACCCTAGGCTGTTTGCTTCACCTCCATCCGGGTGGCCAGGTGGGTGCGTAGCACCGTTGACTGCCTTCCTTACCGACGCCGGCCCCGAAGTGCCCTTCCAGGGGGTCCTCCTACGATGTAGTCAAGTTCGACCTGGTGGAAATGGTCTTTGGAATCACAGCTGAGCCTTGATCCTGGGTGAGGATGCGATCTCCGTCTCCCCCATGTACCTAGTACAGAGCACCCATTCATTCGGTCAGCTGTTATTCAGCAAGTGCTAGGGCCCAGGCTAGGTGCCAGGGGCACAGATCTGCTGATTTTAGGGTGTGACGTGTCTGTGTGTTTGAGCACATGTTTTGTGCACATCACCTGCACGCACACACAGCGTGAGCATCTCCGTCATATGTGAACTCTGGTCTTTGAGGCTGTGACAATGTGTAATCCTGCCGGGACCCCGGGCACACCTGGTTAATTCATTCTGCAAGTGTTTAACAGACACCCACTAAGGAAGTACCAGGCTCTGACCCCAAAGAAAAATGACCCAAGGTCTCTGTCCTCGGGAAGTGCCGTCTCGGGGGCTGTCGCAGTGCGGACTGGTGGGGGCAGAGGCTGGCAGGGCTGGGGGTGGTCAGAAACGTGGTCCTGGAGACACGGGGAAGAGTGGGGAAGGGTGTTCCTGCCCAGCTGTGAGGATGATCTCCAGCATCC